GATGCAGTCAATTTGGCAACACTTGCGTGGACAGATCTTCTTCGCCACTTTTGACGCTTGCGTCTACGGAGGCGCCAGAAAGAAAGCAACCACCTTTTGGTCAAACGCACCCACGGTGCAAGCTTTGAACCTCAGGTGCACGCCAGCCCTTGGACACAGGCATCTGCCGTGGGGTAGGCTGGGCACAGGCTGGTCCACCACTGGCGAAGCCGCCTACCCAAAGGCCCTTTGCAGCCACTGGGCCTCGCTGCTGCATCACGCCCTGAAAGCAGAGGGAGTCATCAGTAGCCACACTCAGGTGCCTGGCACTGGGCGTAGACCCCTTTCAGGACAAGCAGTGGATACGCCTGCAGACAGCAGCAGACAGGCTAACCTTTGTGCCAGGACAGCGGATCAAAGACCCGTCCTTGCCCAAGGGTTCCACCACTATTTCAGTCAGTTTTGCCGACGGGGCCCTCATAGGCAAGCCTGTCGAGCCAGAGGCTTTTCTTGCACGAGCAGCCCAAAACAGACACCCCCAGAGCAGTCTCCCCCCCTGCCGGATCAGCTCGAGACAGTTGTCAGTCGCATCAGTGCCGATGGTCTGCCCGAAATTCAGAGACTGAGATGTTATCGCCTCAAGGCCTTGTGCGACAAAGCCAGAGAGCTTCAGCCCCAGGAAGACTCAGACAGAGACGGCATGCCGCCGCACTTGAGGCATATCCTGCAAGGCAAGAGACTCAAACTTTTCGACAGCATCCTCAGAGGCCTCAGCTTCCCAGACAACACCCTCGCCTCAGACATGAGCCGCGGCTTTAGAGTCACGGGCTGGTTGCCAGACACGCACACCAGGCCCAGCAAGGTCTCGCCGCCCGCCATGCACAGGGATGAGGTCTGGAACAATAGACATGTCAACAACACTGCAGTGTGGAACATGTGTCGCAGCAGTGGCGATGCTGAGCTCGACCAGTCCCTCTGGGACCTCACCCTGGAGGAATGTAAGGCTGGCTGGGCTGTCCTTGAGCCAGGACACCACAGTCCACCCTCCAGCTGCGTCTTAGGCAGGCGATTCGCTGTGCGACAGGGCAGCAAAATCAGGCCTATTGACGACCTGTCCATCAGTTTGGTGAACCAAACGCTGGGTGTGGATGAGAAAATAGTAGTCCATCCTGCCTCCTGTACTCTTGCCTTAGCCTTACATCTCCAGTCTAGGTGCAGACAGTCTCAGGCAGGCATGCAGACGCAGGGCCTGAGAGGCCGGACATTTGACTTGAAATGGGCCTTTAAGCAACTAGGCGTTGCAGACGAGGACCTAGCCTTTTCCAAGGTGGTGGTGTGGTGTCCAGCCGAATGCAGACCGGTGGTAGTCGCCCTACGGGCGTTGCCCTTCGGCGCCACAGGCTCCGTGCACGGCTTTTGCCGCTGCAGCCTCGCGCTGTGGTACATAGCCACTTCGTTCCTTTTGCTGCCTTTGACTGTGTTTTTCGACGATTTCACTTCAGTCTGTCTAGCCGAGGATACAGTCAGCGTTGAGGCATCCATGCTCTTGCTGTTTAAACTGATGGGATGGCAAGCAGCCCTCACGGGGTCCAAAGCATCTGGCTTTGCAGAATGCTTTGTCAGCCTGGGCATAGCATATCTCTTGCCCAAGCAGCCAGGGCTTCCAGTCAGCCTGCAAAATACAGAGGCCCGCAGGAAGGAAGTGACTACAACTTGCCTGCGGGCCCTACAGACAGACACCTTCTCTCCAGCCGAGTGTTTGGCCTTTGCGGGCAGACTTAGGTGGCTTGACGCCCAGACTTTTGGCAGAGTTGGCAGAATAGCCTTCAGAACCATCCTTCAGCATGGCATGAAGCCAGGCAAGAGGTCACAGACTCAGCTTACGACGCCACTCAGGGAAGCTTTGACTTGGGTCCTAGAGAACGTTCCAAGTGCTCAGCCCAGGGCTTTTCATGCCCCGCAGCCGCACTCGGTCAATGTCTTCACAGACGGCTCCTTTGAGCAAGGAGCTGGGCAGATGGGAGGAGTGCTCTGTGACGGCAAAGGATGGCCCAAGGAGTGGTTCCAGGCCTCACTGCCGGAAGACATCCTGCGCGCGTGGGGCTCAGACGGCACAGTGCATCCTATCTTGCAGTGTGAGCTGCTGGCAGTCAGTATTGCAGCCATGATCTGGGGCCCGCAGCTCCGTAGGCAGAATGTGACTTGGTGGATTGACAATGACGCAGCCAGACATTGTCTGATATCTGCCAAAGGATACCCTGAGTCAAACAGGCTCTTGGTACAGACCGTGCTTGTTGTCGAACACAGTCACGAGATCCACTCCTGGTTCTCACGAGTGCCGAGCATCAGCAACCCTGCTGACGCGCCCAGCCGTGGCGAGCAGGCTTCTTTTCTGTCAGGTGCCAAGGAACAAGAAATCAAGGTGGGGTGGTTGCGCTGCCTAGCCAGAGGTGCAGTGTCACGTGCCTTCCTTCAGCCGACCTCTTGAAGGATGACGGGGACTTCGGTCTCGACTGTCTTGAACAGCCGGCTGTAGACAGGCACAGGCGGCCCAGACAGCTAGCCGCCTGGCAGGTCGTCTCAGCCGCTTCGGTTTTTGAGAACTTGGCACGTGAACCCCACCTTGAAGAAACAGTGCGCTTTGCGATTGACTCTCTCTCTCTCTCTCCGTAGAGTCACCAGTCATTAAGTCGTGTATGCTTGCATCAAGCTTTAATGGATGCTGTGACGGCCATTTTGGCTCTAGTCACAGAAAATTTCAGCCCACCCTCCACTCCCTGATATGAGACGGGTACTCGACCCCAGTTGGGAATGCGGTCTGGGCTTTGGCACAGTCAAGCGCAGCCGCTCAGACCTTCGTTTGCCCTGGGAGGACCCAGCTTTCAGGTTCCTTCAGCAGGACAGCACCTTCTTAGACGAGCTACAGGACAAGCTGTTGGACTTGCCAGACCCAGCTCCCCTGCCAGACCCTAGGCAGGAGCAAGGACAGACGAAGCCGTTGCCTCAGCCAGCCCTGCCCCAGCCCAAGCTCCGAGTCTTCAGACAGTGGAAGCCTCAGGACAGCCAGGCAGAAAGGCAGGCTGCTCTGTCTAAGTGGAGTCAGCTGCTGCGCGCGGTGCCACACTTCTTTGCTGAGGAGACGCAGCTAGAAGTCGTACACGAGGACAGTCAGCTTGAGTTAGGCAACCTGGACCTGCGCTTCGCCAAGAAGAGCACCAACACGTTACTGAACAGGGTCAGCAGCCTCAGACGGTTCGCAGCCTGGACAGTCAAGTCCTTTCCCAGGGAACCTTTGTCCGAGTCTTTGGTTTTCTTGTACTGTCAACACGTCAGCCGCGCGCAGCCTGACAGCAGTGCTCCAGACCAGCTCTGCCAAGCCCTGAACTTTGCAGACGGAGTCCTGGTGCTGCGGGCGCCAGCCAAGGAGTTGCTCAGCCAACGTGTTCAAGGGCTGGCACATCAGTGCATGCGCAAGCAGAAGCCACCCAAGCAGGCGGCAGCCCTCACCACCGAGCAGGTTCTCTGGTTGCAGACTGTGGCAGAGTCAGACGACACGCAGTACGAACGCTACATCGCAGCCACCTTCCTGTTCATGTATGCGCGGGCCAGACACAGTGATATCAGGCGATGTCGCGAGATTCTGGTAGACTGTGACGCAGACGGCAATCCAGTCTACATAGAGTGTCAGGTCCTCAACCCCAAGCAGACCAAGGCCAGTCAAAGGCGGAACCTCTTTCTGCCTCTCGTAGCCCCGGCAGCAGGAATAGCACAGACAAGCTGGGCTCTCGAGTGGCTGCAACTCAGAAGGCACCTTGGCTTGGTGTGCCACGGCAGCATAGTCGACAGTCCTCTGCTACCAGAGCTTGCAGCAGATGGCAGCCTTCTCCAGACCAACATGGACGCTGCAGCAGCCTCCAGATGGCTTCGCTGTCTCCTGTCCAAGCAGCCAGGTTGCAGCCCAGACGCACTCCTGAAGTGCTCCAGCCAAGGTCTTAAGGCAACTTGTCTCAGTTGGTGCATGAAGTTTCCTGTTTCAGACAGTGACCAGACACTTTTAGGCTACCACAGTCGCGGTAAGAGTGCGAGCGCTCTCAGTTACGGCAGGGACGCGCTGGCAGGACCCCTTCGCAGCCTTGAACAGGTCCTCTCAGCCGTTTGCAAGGGCGAGTTTAAGCCGGACAGCACCAGATCTGGTCGGTGGCAGCAGAGCAGCCTGCCACAGTCGTCTGCGGCCTCTTCCTCCAGTGTGGTCCCAGCCAGCGCGGAGCCTGAGACAGCTTTGCCGCCGACAGTCTCAGACAGTGACAGCTCCGAGTCTGAACAGTCCAGCTCCGCCTCGTCAAACGAAGAGCCGCAGCAGTTACAGAGTGTTAGCCACAGCCTGGCACTGGTCGCTGGCGATCCAGGTTTTCAGTTTTTATCCAATGTCAAGAGCGGCATCGTCCACATCAGTCGTGTGAACGATGATCGCCTTCTTTGTGGGCGTACAGTCTTCTCCAGCCTACAGAAGCAGGATGTTGTCGATTTTAGACATACTCAAGCCTGTATCACCTGCCAGTCCGTCGCAGACGGTCTCATAGCAGGCCAGTGGGCCACCACTTTTTGAACGACCGGGGACTTCGGTCTCGACTGTCTTGAACAGCCGGCTGTAGACAGGCACAGGCGGCCCAGACAGCTAGTCGCCTGGCAGGTCGTCTCAGCCGCTTCGGTTTTTGAGAACTTGGCACGTGAACCCCACCTTGAAGAAACAGTGCGCTTTGCGATTGACTCTCTCTCTCTCTCTCTCTCTCTCTCCGTAGAGTCACCAGTCATTAAAGAGTGATAGAGAGTTGAATGGAGAGGTAACGAAGATAAGACAGATACAGAGGCAGAGGTCGATAGGAAGATAGATATGCATACATGCATGTGCAGCTAGGTATGCACCCAGATCGAGCCTCGTCTTTCTACTTCTCTGCTTCAAGCCATGGACAACTCCTGCTGCATGTCTCGTTGACATTGGGCAAGAGTCTATTGTGTCTGAGGTATGCATACCGAGATGCAAAGGAGCAGTGTGCGGGCCCCTGCGAGCGACAATACATAGCATGGTAGACAGTGCTACACTCGCGACCCGACATGAATCAGGCTACTTGAGGATCGACGAACGCAGCTATGGAGAGGACGGCAGCCCATCGTCAACAGCTTGGCTGGGTGCAAGTGAGGTAGATCAGCTCCGTCAAAAACAACACGGTGTCACCGGCGTTCGATGCTGAAATGTCGGAAGGGCTCCCAGTTGTGCTGCATGATGAAATCAAGGTTTCTTGTGTCCAGGACTTCTGGGCCAACAAGTGCTGGTCACTGCTGCAAGCTGGGTGCTCAGAAAAATGTAGTTTGGTGTCGGACACATGTCGTGGGATTGCCGATTGCTGTCCTAATAATATCTTCTGAAGAGATTCATATGGTTTTCTGTGCTCGCGCTTTCTTGTGTTCGTACCTGGCGTCTGCTTGTGCGTCGATGCCGCCGGTATGTGTATGTGCATATAGCACGGTGATCATGTGTTCCTGGTGCTTTCGTGGACCCGGGCAAGCAACAACATAGTCAATGTTGCGCATAAGATTCAAGCACTTCGATTGCCGTGTCCTTTTGAGGGCCTTAAGTTCCGCCGGCTGTGTCAGCCGGTTACCAAGCTCTGTCTCACACGTTCGCACCAACTGTCCACAAAAGAGCCTCCTGTGTTTCAGCAGTCAACTTGTAGCCCTTCATACGTAAACCACCCCATCTGGTGCTCAGATCCCTGCGGTGAGGACGAATGCGTCTCGACAGCAGCAGGGGGGGCGCAGGGTGGTGTGGCAACTTCAAGCGCGGTATGCAGCATGCGCCCAGGAAGTGCCGCTGCTCTATGACGAGTATGAAGCTCGGCTGACCCTGGAAGCCGGATCTGACATGACACAGGAGGTGCTTCTTCCGCGCCCCGACACTCGAGCTTCGAGTTCGCATTGGCCGTCTTCTGCCATAGCATAGCTAGCTGTTGACCTTGATTGATGCCCCCAGACTTGACAATATGCACTGCTGCGACGTTCGAGCCTGCATTTATATCCAAGGAGTGGGGCACATCTGCCCAACATCATTGTTGGGAACTAAATCCGGATCCAGCCGTTTACAACGAGAACATGTACTTCGGAGTGTGACGCTGCTGCAGAGACGAGTATCATGATATATTGTACTGAAACTGACTTGGCTAGACCCTGAATGGCTTGCGAGTTCTACACGCTTCTTTGATGGACCCGGCTGCAGGAATCTGTACTGTACTTGTAGCTGACATATGAGCTGTGATGAGCTATATTCGAACTTGGGCTGTCCTCAGAGGTACCACCCGAGAAAGAACATGGAGGACAGAGCGATATCTGAGTTGGGGGCTTCGGGCTTCAGACTCGCCCTGCCTCCACCGCCTCTGCTTTCAGGACTGGCTGAACTGCCGTATGCAAACGGGAGTCCCGAAGATCATCACCGAGGTCTCTAACTCGGCGTTTAGGGTCGCGAAATCCTCATGGGCAGAGCGTAGCCGAGATTTCCCTGAGCTTTCGGGGTGCCGGAGGAGCAGAAACAAATGGCGATCAACCTGGCGGGGCCAGGAAAGCCGACAAAGGCCTCTCGGCATTGCATTTCTCCAAGCTTAGTCAGGAGCTGAGCCAGCGCAGCGGTACTTGGAGGTAGGTTGCATGAAGGGCGTGTGACCACCCAACGGGCCTTCTCGCGCTTCCGCAATCTAGCGGTGCAACAGCAGCGGAAAGTGCGGACCACCGTTCATTCAAACGCGGTGCCAAAGCATGTCTACTGACTGTCTGCTGCTATGCAGTATACAGGCACTCGTATCAACTATGCAAGGCTATTTAAGTCTATAAAGCCTTCTTTGATCCTGTGATCCAGATCCTGGGCAAAATGTACGAGATTTCGCCGGTGGCCTTCCCGTGGCACTGCGGCAGCAGGGAGCATGGACGTTTGGTAGTGGGGTTTGTCCGGTTATCTTCGTCGTTTGCTGCCTGGCACAGGGCGGTCTAGCAATGGTTTCTCAGCAGCGTGAGTCCACTCGCATCATCTAGTCAGTGTCTTCTGCAAGCCGCCTGTGTGAGTCTTACGCACGTGCGACCGCAGGGCAGAGCAATGGCATTTCCTCAGCCAAGGAGACCCCCAACGGCGGCATTTGCGTCTGTGGCCATTGCAGGCTGGATGGTTTTCGGGGTAGGTACAGGCACCTGTCATCACGAAGAAGAAGGGAGGGCATAGGAGTGCCTAGATGTAGGGTCAGCCGGACGTAAGACCAGAGCTGTAGCAGATCCAAGCCTTGGTGCCAGGCACTGCTCTCGCAACTCTCGGTTGCTTGGTGCTCCGGAATCCTGGCTTGGACATGTTCGAGGGTTCAGCACGTCGAGTGTAGAAAGGTCGATCACTCGATGAGTTCTGACTTGTCTCCATGTCTGACTTCTAGTGGGCTCTTGTAGCTTGGGGTCGCTGCTAGTCTTCCGTGAACCGTCCTTCACCTAAAGAAGCCTGTGCTGACTTCTTGGCAAGTCGCTAAGTGCTTCTTCAATCGTAACCATCGCTACGAGCACAAAGAGCTCGGATGTATTCACAAGAAATACACCAGTTGGTCAGAAGGCAAATTGAAGCTCAATGCAGCAGAACAGGAAACAAAGCGCTTCAGTGTTTTTTCAAAGGGTTGGTTCGCTTCGCATACGCAAGGTGGGTTTTCGCCGGGGTAGGTCGGGCTCATGGCCAGCGCACACCACGAACCCTAAGCTACAACAAACGGTACAGGTCTTGAGTGTGTCAGTGCATGTGTCCAGGCCACGGATTGTGTTCTTCAGGTTGAGCTGCCACGGCACAGGCAGCCATCACGGTGAAGTCATCGCATATTTTGGTAGCCAAACACCATGATTCTGCATCTGCATGCTGTCAGTCGGCTGGTTAGGGTTTCGAAAATGTGTTGATACTTTCGGCAGAGGGAAACCAGCCCGGGGAGTCCATGAATCCTTCGGCGATCCTCCTGGATTCTGGAGCTGTGTTGGCATTAGCGAGCATTGCTGCATTGCAGTGCTTGAGCGGACCTGCAGTCTGGAAGCGTTTGAGGAGTCACGTATTAGATCGTACTTTCTTGAGGGCGTTCGTTATGGTGCACCGTCAAGGAAGTGGAGTGTCAGCCTCCCAATGGATGACGCAAAGACCCGTGCCTTGAAGCTGGCCGAGGCGGAGGATTCTGACTCCACAATGCTCCTTTCTCCTGCATTTGCTGCTGCTACTGCTGCTGATGTTATACTGCTTACTACTTATTACCTACGACCTGATACGTACTACTCACTGCATACTGCTGACTACTACTACTACTACTACTACTACTACTACGACGACGACGACTACTACTACTACCACCACCACCACCACCACCACTACTACTACGACGACGACGACGAGGAGACGTTGACGACGACTACCACTACTACTACTACTACTACTACTACGACGACGACGACGACGAGGACTCCTACTACTACTACTTCTACTACCACCACTACTACTACTACTACTACTACTACTACTACTCCTACCACTAACACTACTATTACTACTACTACTACTACTACTACTACTACTACGCCTACGACTACGACTACGACTACGACTACG